GTGACTACGATCCAGGTAATCAAAGACAATTCTCTTTTCATGAATAAGTATCAAGAAAACTCTCATTAGTATTTTGGAGTTCCATCGTCATATCTTGCAGTAAGAAGCGTATTTTGGAGATTGAGTTATGCAATTAAGTTCCTTGATTTCTTTTTTTCCTTTGATTCAAAACAGACAAAATACGGTGACACATATGACTGCGTGGATTTCTATGAGCAACCAGCCTTCGATCATCCTTTATTGAAGGATCTAAAGTATGAGTTCCAGGTATGTTGTATAAATCTTATGCTCAACTAACTTCTCTATCTTAGTTAATTTTCATCTTAATAGAGAGAGTACTTATTGCTCAAGACACGAGTTGTATGTTCTAAATTTTCTTGCAGATGAGCCCTTCTCGCGCTTCAACCCAAAAGGTTGATACGGATGCTTCTGGCATCGACCCATTTGATATATGGGTAAATGGTAAAGGATGTCCATCGAACACCGTACCAATAAGAAAAATGGGACGAAAGGAGCTTATTAGAACGAACATGGCTGCTAAACCAGCACACAATATTTCAGCAGGTGCAAATCAAGGTGTTCGTCAACTAAGTTATCAACACTTTCCCTAGGTTTTATCAAGCATCAAAATATAACCATGTTAATTAACTCTATGTGTTCTGCTTTCTAGCCAGTACCCTAGTCACAATTTTTAATTAAAATACATTACCTGAAAATGTTCGTGCACATACAGTTTGTTCTCCTCCAGACACAAGGGTCAAACAGATATTATGGAGGTGGAATGATAACTAGTGTGTACCATCCTCAAGTTGAAAAAACTCAATACAGTTCCAGTCGGGTCAAATTTCAAAACGGTCCTGACAGTATTGCGGTAGGATGGACGGTAAGCACTTGCGGTGTCATTGATAAATTAGTTACTATCCTACAACCGTCATAACTTGCTTCATAACTTGCTTCAGGACACCCTGTGTAAACACACAATCAGTGAACAGATGATGGCGAGTCTCTAAGCCTCCAGGAGACAGCAAGGAGAGCCCAGTCAATGGCTTCCCCTAGGAAATTAGCTTGTCCTGCAACTTCAACATGTCATTAATCACAAGCCAAAGTATAAATCCATGGCAGAGGAACAATAAACTTGTACCACACAAGACTGTAGGTGGTCGAGCGCGAGACCAACCGACTCTTCTCCTCCTTTCCTTTACTTTCTTACAACTGCAAGAAACCCTAATCGAACAAAGAGGATCAAGTGAAGATTCACGAAATACAAAAGGAGAATTGATAAAATAATGTGTTCTTTATTTTGCTGGATGAAATGATCTATTCGTAACTATATTGGGCTGGGTGTAGACACCACTTTTTGTCCGGGTCAAAACATATTTAATCAATTAAAATTTAGTGTCAGTTTAAGATGTGTAATAACAAATCTTGAATGATCTTCTAAGTTAAACATAATTGTAGTGCTTGGGTGAGTCTTGCTTGCCATAATTCAATGAGATCAGCAATAGCTAATCTCAATTGATACAATTCATTAGCGATGACTTGACATGTTAATTAATTGATTCTTAAGACGTTGGGTCTTGTGAGAATTGAATCGCGATTTCGAAATAAAAAATAGGAGTCATAACAATCTTATCAGGAGAGCTACAACGCCAAATAATTAAAAACATTATTACAATTAATTACACTGCTAACCCGGTTGAACCTGGTTCAACCTGTGCCGGTCATGAAACCGGCATGACATGACTGGTATGACCGACTTACGCATTCTAAGTAAAATGACATCATTTTAATGAACTTAATGAATAAAAAAATTAATTTATTATTCATTTTATGAATGTAATAGCTAAAAGTTGATGATATTGGTTGGATTGTAACTAAATTGTCCACAAATATGTTTTATATATATGATTAAATACATTAGATATTAATTGTTTTCACATTTTTTTTAACCGGCATGAGCCGGCACAAACCGCCGTATTAACCCCAAAACAAACCTTTCGAAACCCACCTAATCAAATGATCACATCTGAGTTTTCAAAACAAGAAACATAAAACCCAGAAAATTTACCCTAACTACCAGTCAAATTTCCAAAACCAAATTCACCCATAAAACCCACAAAAAGGACAGATTTGAACTCGACAACCCCTCAAATCATCAGCTACCAAAGCTCATCAATACCACAAATATGAATTCCAGCAGCAAACCCAGTCATAATATCACCAAATTTCCAAAATTGAATCAAAACCTAAATTCATGCTAAAGCAGAACCAAAACACTAAATCAAGCGTACTATCGTAAACCATCAACAATAACCCAATCAAAATCCAGCAATCAAGTAAAACTCTAAATCATCAACACTGAATTTAAATCAAACCATAGTCGAATTGGTAGCCAATCTATTATAGTTCTCGAACCTGCAAAAAGGGAATTTAAATTAGAATCCACCAAGCAAACAAGATAATCAGAAAATAAAATACAATTAGCAGGTCATTGTCTGCCTCTGCCACATCAGCCGCCGGCGACTCTGCCAGTGCTCGCCGGCGATGACCTCACTTTCTCCTCTGTTCGCTTTTACCTTCTCCCTTCCTCGCAATAAAAGAAACCAGAAAGATCAATCGGAACCCTAAATACCCCATAAACAAAACCGAACCTCCAAATACGGCGTGCAAGAAAAAATCCCTCTTACCCTCACCGCCGCGTCCGTCGCCGGTAATTCTTTCGCCGGCGGTGACCTCGTTCTCACTTCCCTCAATCGAGAACAAAACCCAAAACGAAACAAAAAATCAAAGGGTTCAGAACCCCAAAAGTTTACCCAAATCGTAATCATATCCGGAAAATGACATGCAATGGAGGACAACTGACCTTTAACCTCCTTTTGCGTCTTTGCCATCTCCGTCGTCGTCAATCGCCGTCGCTTCTTTTGACGTCGCCGCCTTTCTATTTTACCCTTTTTATTAGTCGTCGTTTCTGGAGAAGAAGAGAGAAGAGGAGAGAACGAGAGGAAGGAGAGAAGAGAGGGTCGGGGCGGCTAGGTTAGGTTTTTTGGTCCAGATTTTGAGAGGTTTATAAACCCTCCTTCGTTGAATGACTAAACTGCCCTCTATCTTTGTTAAATTACACCACTGCCACCTTCCTCGCCTAAAAATGACGCGGCCCAACGACGTCGTTTTAAGAAGATCGGAAATGATACAAAATTCAATCCCGAAAGGATTCGAACCGCTAATCCATTCGTTGTAACGAATTCTAATTAACACTCTAAACCACTAGGCTGGTCGCCAGCCACTTGTCCGTATTTAAAGCTCAATTCATTTTAACTTCAATCACCTTAATACGTAACTCATACTTAATGAGAAAAATTACTCGTTTATTTCGTAGATTTACATTTTAACCTCAATAAAATCATTAATTTCTTACTTCCTAAGAATTGTTAACCTTATTTGTTTAAATAATATTCTGCATAGGTGATGTTCCCCAAATTTTCTTAATACGAAATGTCAACGGTCGATAGATCATTATAGCATTCTCGTAGTAAGTTTATTCGGAAGTCATCGAACTTTCAAATTAGAATTACAAGGAATTAAACTTTGCTTCACTTTTCTAAATTATCCAACATCAAATCTTAATCACATATCAATAGAACGTGTTAAGGTCGCCTTTTCAAAACCACCATAAAATTACACCGAACTACGTGGACTTTGATCCCGATTAACTCGGGTACGTAGGCAACCAATAGGTTCGAGTCCAACTAATAAAAAAATATTTTCTTTACTTTCTAGATTTTGCGTCAATAGACGGATAATCTAATTGTATACCAACTTTAACTCATTAGTCCAATTGGATTCCAAAATACGTAATTAACAAATTTTAAATAATAACTATCTAATTAATCAAATCATATAATTAAATACATCAAGAAAGCCGCAAATAATAATACACCCAATTCTTGAAAAAACTTATCGATTTAAGTAGTACCCATTTGGGGCGTTGTGGGGTGTGAATACACTTCCCCACCCATAACCGTACTCCCGAACCCATAAACCTAAATTTCGCAGACCAAATCCCGGTTCTGACCCTAAGGTTGGAACCGGACTAAATGGTGTTCGACCCACCACAAAGTAAGGTCGATGGCGACTCCGAGCGTTTCGCGACTGACTCCCCGATTTTGAGGGGCGGTTTGCGACACTGAGCTTTGCTTCCTTCACTTATTATATTTGTACCGCAAAATTAATGGGCTTGTTACCCCCGAAGCCCGATCTTTAGCACTGATGCTTCTTCTCTAAGATATTCCTCTACACTTCACCTGCTTCTCTATCAAGTGACCAGAAACAGAGCAACACAAGCATAAGCACAACAAAGCAAAATGAAAAAGACTCAAGACCAAATTTTACATGGTATCCGATATTGGGAGAAGAAGGGTCCCAATATCGACTAATCCACGGCAAGAGATTCTCCTCTTGAGAACTCTTGCGTAACCACTAATGGTTTTACTCAGTTTTTACAATACGATGAACACTCTTGATCAGCTCCCTGCTTAGCAAGATGTTCAATCCTCCTGTGTATCAACTCCCTGTTTACACACAGAACTACTAAGCAATTCTCCCTGATTTGCCACACACTGTTTTTCTATCTTAAGACTACTATTGACTCTCAATTCTGTAGCTTTGATTTTTCCTTGAAAAACGTAAGTTGTACAGTTTGGCGTGGCTCGCCCAATATACTCTTCTTTGCTGCCCGTTGGCCTTGATCTCTCTTGATTGATTTGATTTCCTTCATTCTTGGCGACTTTCCATGTTGGTAAGCTTCCTCTTTTGGTAAGGCTCAGAATCTCCGATACAACTTGAGGTTTGAAATCTTTTAATCGATTATGCCATTGACAGGCTTCCCACAACAAGCTCCCCCTAAGCTTGTCAATGGCTCACCCTGTTGCACTTGTTTTTCCTGCACACACTCAACACACAATTGGTGTAGTCTGTTCTATGCAAGGGAATAACAATAAGAGGGAAAGCTTCTCATTTTATTAATGACTTTCAGAACCTTCAAAGACATGACACAAGACATAATCGACGAACCTGACACTCAACCTTGAAGGACAAACTTTAACACTCAACCTTGAAAAGACAAACTCAACTCTGCTAGACTATCATTGCTACGATCCTAATGCTCCCCCTTAGTTCAACAACTGATCTTTTTAAAAAGGATAGTCAGGTGGAGTTTCATAGTCAGAGATATCATCTCCCGAACTATTGTCAGGAGATATTGGATCGAAGTTGTCTGGGGCAGGCATGGCCTCATCATCTTCCAAAAGCTCCAGACGCTCCTTGCACACTTGAAGTCTAGTTGTTGTCCCACTTCCAGCTTCCTATCCTCGTCTGATTTCAAGGTCTAGTGCAGATACTGCAGCTTGTGTCAGGCCTGACATTAAGCCATCAGTAGAGATTTATGCAGAGAAGACAAGGCAACTGGTATCTCCCCCTGAGCCAGAGAGAAGCTGACGGCGCCCAACATCAGCATTAAGACGATTAAGAACATGATTGGGACGTAGATCATCATGAATGTTGCAGACAACAACTTTATCTCGAAGATCAATGCTGAGACGATAGAGGTAGCGGGTGATAAGTGGACCAAAGGGAAGTGGACCACTATAACCACCATTACCGAAGCTAATCATGTGGGGAAAAACAAGAGAGGCATAGCTGATGGGTGAGCGAGAACGAGCATTGGACATAATCCAGAGATCAGAAGTGTGGAGAATGTCAGTGCTGGAGATATCTCTGTGAAGAAGACAGCGGGTAAGGAAGAAATGGAGAACTTTCAGATCGTCAGGCAAGCGACCCGCAGCGAGCATGGTGGGAAAGACACGGCCAATATCACGAGTGAGCTCATTCAGGGCAGATCCAAAGTCAAACCCAAGATCTGCAAATTCACCGTCAAAGCCAGCCTGATAACCTCGATGAGGCAGAGAGAGAACTGATGCAAGCAGGTCTGGGGTGATTGTGATCTCATGATCATAGACCAAAGTGGTGAAGGACTTTGGTTCAGCACCACGCCCTTGACCAAGATTGACATAGAAGAGGCAAACCGCCTCAGGACAATGTAGAAATCGTTGGTCTTCCGTTAAGGCAGACCAACCGAGGCCACTCAGAAGAGATGGGATATCCATGTCGTACTTTGAAAAGGCCGAGGGACTGATAGTGAAGGATGGATAGATGGGGCGATTTCAAAAGCACCGAAGGTACCTGGAGTACACAATAGCACTTCGGAACCCTTGATTCTTGAAAACAACAGCAGACCGAAGTTGAGCATTGTTTGAGGTCATTTTGCTTTGGGAGAGGGAGGTTTAGGGCAAGAGGGCTGAAGTGATTGAAGCAGACGAGTGAGAGAGGGCTTAAATACAGACAAAAGAAACAAATATAGTAATGCCTCTCTTATGCCAGCCATACACAGCTGATTTTTTGTGATAGATCGGAGTGGGGAACACAGGGAAAGGATCTGAAAGGAAAAGGAAGGTGAGATCTTCCAGAGTAGAATCCGAGGATATTTCTTCTATGTCTTCAAGAGAGAATAAGCCAAGTTCACGTCGAATTGGGAGGAACTTGTCAGCTGACAGAGGCTTGGTGAATATGTCATCCCATTGTAGGTCAGTCCCTATATATTCTAGGTGAACTTTACATTCTTGAACAAGGTCTCGAATAAAATGATACCTAACCTCTATGTGTTTGGTGCGAGAGTGTTGAATAGGGTTTTTAGTCATGTTAATGGCACTAGTGTTATCACATCTAACAGGAAGTGACCCAAGCTGAAGACCATAGTCTTCCAATTGGTATTTCATCCACAATAGTTGTGTACAGCAAAATCCAGCTGCTATATACTCTGCTTCTGCAGTAGATAGAGCAACTGAACTTTGTTTCTTGCTGAACCAAGAAATGAGAGAAGAACCAAGAAAGTGACAGGTACCGGAGGTACTCTTTCGATCAACTACACAACCAGCGTAGTCTGAGTCACTATAGCTAATCAAATCTAATGGGGAAGAACTATAATACCAAAGACCTAGGGTGGGGGTGCCTGCAAGATAACGAAATATACGTTTGATTGCAGAGAAATGGCCTTGGGATTGCTTTGAAACCTAGCACAGACACAGACGCTATACATGATATCAGGCCGACTAGCCGTGAGATACAGTAAGGATCCGATCATGCCTTTGAATTTTTTACTGTCCAAGGATTTTCCCGATTCATCCTTTGTTAGCTTGACAGTAGAGCCCATTGGTGTAGAAGCAGTTTTTAGACTCTCAAGGCCAAACCGTTTTAACATGTTATTGAGATACTTAGATTGACTGATGAATATCCCATGATTGGTTTGTTTTACTTGTAGACCTAGAAAACAGTTTAATTCACCCATGAGTATAGGTGTCAAAACATGACCCGACCCGAGTAACCCGCCCAACCAACCCGATCCGCGACCCGCCCGCAACCCGTTTAGACTAAAAGTCAAAGACCGGCAACCCGCCCGACCCGTAACCCGCTTGACCCGCAACCCGCTTAACCCGCAACCCGCTTGACCCGCAACCCGCTTGACCCGAACCCGATTGACCCGCAACCCGCTTGACCCGCAACCCGCTTGACCCGTAACCCGACTAACCCGAACCCGATTAACCCAACCCGAACCCGCCCGATTGGCACGAATAATACTACATAATATATTTTTGTGCATAAATATTATATGTAGATAATATATATAGATAACACATACATATGAAAAACATGATTGGCTTAATTAAGCCAATCATATATCAGTACCTAATAATTACAACATTTTTTCTTCCACACATAATATAACTGGTCACATAACATTGTCAAAATATTAACCTAGAATAGTTAGTAAAATACGGTACGGGAAAGTTACGTATAAAATACTTACGGGTATTATACTTTTCTCTTAGTTTATGTTACGTTTAATAGTACGTTAATAGTTATAAATATACAAAACTAATTACTTTTGTAAATAAATCAATATGTAAAAAATAGTAAAGTTAATAATTAATTTCATTAAACGGATATTAAACGTGTTATTAAACGGAGTATTTACTAACTATGATTTATAAGGTATACGGTAGTGGACTCGTGGTTTATAGTTCGGAAGATTAGGATTTAGGACGTATGTTCTTCTCAATAACTGAATACAAAATTGACTTAACTAACATTCTTCACATATCATGCGTTATAATTTATACTTTATACCAACAATTTCATAACACATAACTATAGTTCATGGTTTAAGGTTAGTGTATAGGGTATACGGTAGTGGACTCGTGGTTTAGAGTTTGGAGTCATAAGACGTATGTTCTTCTCAATAACCGAATATAAAATTGACTCAACTTACATTGTTCACATAACATACGTTATAGCTTATACTAACAATTTCATAACATATAACTATAGTATAGGGTATAGGGTTAGGGTTTAGGGTTAGGGTATAGGGTAAGGGTTTAGGGTTTATTCATGGTTATGCTTTAAGTTGGATATTTTGATTTTTATAGTTTATTAATTAATTTGATTTTAACAATTAGTTGAACTTGTGAATGTACATCTTAAATATATCATATTCAAATGACATTCCGACCAACGAATCGAACAACAAACTAATTAATCGGTATAAAATTTATCATCTATAATAATAAATATCAAAGAAAGGAAGAACTAGATGTTTATGGAAATTTTTTGAATGTAAAATTCAAACCCCCCCCCCCCCCCCAAATATTTGCTCAAAAATTCCCTTGCAAACCCATTTTTAAAAAAAATCCCTCCCATAAACCCCCTTCCCCCAATATTTTATCAAAAATTGAAAATTCCCTCCCACCTCCCCCCAATATTTGATCCAAATTTGAAATTCCCCCCATCCCAACCCAACCTAATTTTCCGTGAAAAAAAGTATTATTAACAATATATTTTTTTTAATCAATTTAGAAGGGAAAAAAGAATTGGTCTTCGTCCACGGTTAAAAATATCTGTCTTCTATCAATAAAAAAAAAACGAAAGAAAGAAAGGAAACACAAAAATCTCGGCCACTTTCCCTTTCCCTTATCCATTCTGCGCCTCTCTCTCGAATCAACCCTCCCTTCTCCTTCTCCTTCTCCTTCTCCTTCTCCCTCCCTCAATCGGAAAAAAACCCGCCTAGTTGTCGTCGCCTCCGCCGCCTAGCTGTCGTTGCCGTTGTTGTTATTGACGGAAGCAGAGGAAGCGGAAGCAGCCCAAGGTTTTCCTCAACTCCATTACTTCAGGTAACTTCCCTTGCATCCTGTTTGGCCGCGAAAACTCTGTTTGGCATGACCATGACCATCCCCATAGCCTTTCCGTGCTTAGATTTGTCTTCCTGCTGGCTGTTATTTTTCATTCTGACTTGCGTTGACGCTTGCTTCCTTACCTTATCTCTCTTTATCAACTTTCTAAGCTCCCGCGAGATGCAACCCTATCACTTTTCCTTGATCCGATTTCCCTCTGGAATGGGTCCGTCGGCATATGTTTAATTTCCCCCCCAGATCTTCTCCTTCTGCCCCCTCGTTAGGGTTCCAGTCCCAGAATTTTCTGTTTCCTATTTGTCTCCGCTCGCTTGCAGCTAATAAGTCAGATGGGAAAGAAGGGGAAGTAGCATTCCCTGTTGAGAGAGAGAGCCTTTCTAAAAAGCAAGATGCCAAAGGGACTGTCCTTATCATAAACAGAGTCCCATACATATCTTTTGATTTCAATGCGCTTGATATCAGAGCTCTCAATGCAAAAAATCTTAAGTGTTAAAAGGGAAAGAGGGCACACAACAAAAGTTGGTGAAAAATTGATTAGCATTGGGGTAAAACAAAAATGGGTTTGGAGGAAATCATGATTCTTTAGATTGGGATTTGTGAGGGGGACCTCACAAAGGAATGAAATGGCACTTGTCATCCTATTATTTTTACACAAAATTTTGCTGAGAATGACTGATAGAAATGGGTGCTAACATAACATCAAGATGCATAACCAGCCATTCCACAGCAAATAAAGAAACGATTCTGTGGTCCTCTGAAGATGACACTTGACAGATCTTATAAAGAGATGCTAAAGATGGTAGCTTGAGATGATCGGTGGTTGAACCAGTCAGTCTATGAGGAGCAATCTTTAATGATAGAAGGCGAACTATGTAATGGTTAAAGATTCAGTGCAAGAAATCAAAACTTCCCTCTTAACAGATCCTCAGAGCTCATAACTAAACTGATGATAATAAGTCAGTGTCTGACTGTTTCTGTCGGTTGTGAAATTCGTTTGCTCTAAGCTCATGATTCTTGTTCACCCGTGATTAGGAATCTTCCTTGAGCTTTTGGTGTGGTAATGCAGGTCCGGCGAGGTAGTTGATGGGCACATCCTCTCTGGTTCCAACATCCACCACCAGAATAACTCTGGCAAATTTGAGAAGTGTTCACTTTCAAGACCCAGAATAGAGTTCACTCTAATGGCTTTAACTTGGCATGTCCCCTGTTAAAAACAAAAAAACAAGCCAATAATCGTCACTAGAAGCTTGTATATGTTTATTGGCATTGATTCTAAATTAAGTGGAAGTTACCTTCTTGTTAAGTAATAAATCCCTAGCTGCACGTATTTTAAATTAATGTTGCATACTTGCATTGCATATAACAGGAGATGTGATTGCCTTTGCCTGATCAGGGTGCTCTCCTAAGTAAACCTATTTAAGACCTACATTTTTAAAACTAAAAGACACAGGACTTGATTTGTTTCACTTCATATCCAAGAGGAGTAGGATTCAACCAAAAGTTAGAAATAACTGTCAACGTCCTATAATGGTTCTGTAAGACTGTAACCTTAATGAATCATTTGCAAAATCAAACTTGTTTATGATATATTCAAGCAAAATCTAGTCACTCATTTGTGTAATAATGTATCTTCATGTTTTTTTCATTGCAATATGGTGATTGGTGAGTTTGTTTTAAATTAGTTTAGTAACTAATTATAAAAAAACTCGATGGTTTGGACCGAACAACCCGCAACCCGACCTGTTGTAACCCGCAATCCGATCAACCCGAACCCGATTGAACCGCAACCCGATCAACCCGTAACCCGATTGATCCGCAACCCGATCAACCCGAACCCGATCAACCCGCAACCCGATCAACCCGCAACCCGATCAACCCGAACCCGCTTGACCCGCAACCCGCTTGACCCGCAACCCGATTGACCCGCAACCCGACTGAACCCGACCCGAACCCGCCCGATTGACACCTATACCCATGAGACTCATTTCAAATTCATTTTTCATGTCATTTTCGAATTCAGAGCACAATTTAGGACTTGTGGAGCCAAAGATAATGTCATCAACGTACACTTGAACCAGAAGAGTATCCTTATCTACAGTTTTTATGAAAAGAGTTTTATCAACCTTACCTTGTCGAAATCCTTTCTCAATTAAAAAATTGCTCAGTTTTTCATACCACGCCCTAGGAGCTTGTTTTAATCCATACAAGGCCTTATTTAATTTATATACATAGTCTGGATGTTCAGGATCTTCAAAACCAGGTGGCTGGGATACATAAACTTCCTCTTTTAGATCACCATTTAAAAATGCACTCTTAACATCCATTTGGTATAGTTTAAAACCCCTAGAAGCAGCATATGCACATAATAGTCTAATGGCTTCTAACCTAGCTACAGGAGCAAAAGTTTCATCGAAGTCGATTCCTTCTTCTTGACAGTATCCCTGAGCTACTAATCGAGCTTTGTTCCTAACAATTATCCCAATTTCATCGGTTTTATTTCGAAAGATCCATTTTGTCCCAATAATTATTCTATCTTTTGGTCTAGACACCAAGTCCCAGACCCTGGTTCTGCCAAACTGATTAAGTTCATCATGCATAGCCATAGACCAGAATTCATCTTTTAATGCATCATCAATATTTTTTGGCTCAACTTGTGAGACAAATGCAGAATGTTCAACTGAATGCATGGATCTAGTAAGCATACCTTGTTTCATATTGCCAATGACAAGAGATGGAGGATGTCTGCGTCTGATGTGGGGTGGTGCTTGAAGTTCACTCCTTTCCTCTTGTTCATTCTCTGTTGTGTTAGTGACTGCTACCTTTTCTTGAGCATCTGGTGGTTGCTTCTGGTCACTCCTAGTCCCTAAACCAAAATCATCATCCTCGTCCAAACTTTCTGCACACTTATCACAAGATTCATCAAATATCACATTGATGGACTCCTCGACCTTGAGGGTCCTTTTATTGTAGATTCTGTATGCCCTGCTACTTTCAGAATATCCCAGAAAAATTGATTCATCGGATTGAGTCAAAATTTCCTAGACTGTCCTTGGTATTTAGAGAATAGCACTTGCATCCGAATGGATGAAAGTAACTCAAGTTAGGTGTCCTGTTCTTCTAGAGTTCATAAGGGGGTTTTGTTCAGTTTAGATCTAATGAGAGCCCTGTTAGTTACATAGCATGCAGTATTTATGGCTTCTCCCCAGAACTTCTTTGGTATGCCATAATCATTCAGCATAGTTCTAGCTATGTCAATTAGTGTTCTGTTTTTTCTTTCAACAACACCATTCTGCTGTGGTGTCCTAGGTGCAGAAAAGTTGTGGGATATTCCCTTTTTATTACAGAACTCTTCAAACTTTTCTGATACAAATTCCCCTCCATGATCACTTCTTATACTCACAACACCTAATTGTTTTTCATTTTCTATTCATTTGACAATTGTTTTAAAAGTTTTATATGCTTCATCTTTGCTGATAAGAAAAAGTACCCAAGTAAATCTGGAGAAGTCATCCACAATCACAAAAGCATAGTATTTTCCCCTAAACTCATTACATTGCTAGGTCCAAACAAGTCTAGATGAAGCAGCTCTAATGGTCTAGTGGTTGAGATGACTGGTTTTGATTTGAAAGAGGATCTAAAGTGTTTTCCCTTAGCACATGCATCACAGAAGAATTCCTTCTTGCTGTGTAGCTTAGGAATTCCTCTAACTAGATTCATATTAACTAGTTTTGACAGAATACCAACACTTATGCGTCCAAGCCTTCGGTGCCATTCAGTTTGATCATTCTTGTTAACTGTAACTAGACAGGTTTCATTGAAAGCTGATTTGTCCTCAAGATCAATTGTATACAGCTTTCCTTTGCGCTTTCCAGTGAAAATAAGCTTTTTGGTCTCAATGTTTTCAACATAGCATTTGTCTTGTTCAAAAATGACACTGTTTTCACTGCCACACATTTGCCCTGTGGAGAGAAGATTATGTTTTAAATCCTTAACTAACAAGACATTGCTAATAGAAGGTACAGATCCTACTTGACCCTTCCCTAGTATTTCAGTGCTAAAGTTATCACCAAAAAAGACTTTTCCTTTGTTTTCTAAATGCGGTTTTGAAAAAGATTTTTACTACCAGTCATGTGATGTGAGCACCCACTGTCGAGTATCCATACGTTGCCTTTCGTGCTCACTTGAAGACAGGTCTGAAAACAAACAGATAGGACTACTTAGACTTAGGCATCCAAACAAGTTTAGATACCTTCCATGATTGACAGTCTTTGAGATGTGCTTTATTTGTTTGTCTTATGTTATGTTCACAAAGGGCTTTGTCTTTATTTTCTTTGGCAATTCTCTTCTTACAGTGAGCAATAAAATGACCAGTTTTATGACAGTAAAAGCACTCTGAGTTTTTGACCCTTTTAAACCATTCATGTTGATTGACTAGACCCTTGGTTGGAGCATGCCTATTCAACTTGCTTTTAATCCTAGAGTTCTTAATTAATTCTTCTTCTGTTTCTTTAATCTTCTTCTTTAACAAGGCATTTTCTTCCTCTGATATTCTGAGTTTGTTTTCTATACTTAGTTTTTCATTCTTCAATGCTTCAAGCTCAGATTCTAATGTTTCACACTTGGCTTTGGTTATCATATGTTTATGCTTAACATTTACAAACTCCTTTTGAATGTCTCTGATAGTTTCATCTAATTGATCATTATCACTAAAGGAGTCAGAATAGTAAGATCTTACTTGTGAAACTTCTTCATCACTTTCATCGACAGCCATGTATGCGCTATATTTCTGACAGGTCTCATCCTCATCTTCCTCCTCCTCGCTGCAGCTCCAGGTAGCATAAGCTTTCTCCTTTTTTGTCAGGGGACAGTCTGCCTTGATGTGTCCCTGCTTCCCGCATTTGAAGCATCCAGCTTGAGACTGGAATCGTTCTGAACTGGCTCCTTCTCTTTTGCTTCGGGTCATATTTCGATTTCCTTTGCCAGGATCCTTTGTCATTTCCTGCTTCTCGTTGTCTGCCAGGGAAGTTTCCTCCTTTCTTTTCTCTTCTTATCTTCAGCAGCTTGGCAACATGCTTGCTAAGCATGGCAAGTTCCTCTTCTTCCATTTCATCGAGACACTCTAATTCATCTTCCTGTGATGTTACTTTGAAGGCTATTCCTCTTTTTTTCTTTCTTCGGCCCTTCTAGATCCTCTCTCTTTAATTTTTCTTCATGTGTGATCAGAGAGTCGATTAGTTCATCCAGGCTCAATCTGGTGAGATCCTTTGATTCCTCGAGTGCTGTGACTTTGGGAGTCCACTTCTTTGGTAATGCCCAGAGAACTTTTCGAACCAAATCGGCACTGGCATATTCAACCTCCAAGTTTCTCAGGCTGTTCACTATGGTAGTGAACCTCTCGTTCATATCTGATAGACCCTTAATTACACATGTTTTTACCCCTGTTCTTACACCGTTTGAGGTGTTGACTCTCGTGTTTTAGGCCGATTTCACCCTAGGTTGTGCTTGTTTGTGATATTTCAGGTCCTAGTACGTGAATGGAGGCTTGGGAGCGAGTTTGGGGTCGATTGGACGAAGATCGGACGTGTGGCGAGGTGCTAAGGAAGTTGCACGGGCATTCCTGGACATCACACGGCCGTGCAACTCACATTTGCGGCCGTGTGGTTTTCATCGAGAGCATGCACGGGCAGGATGGAAATCCCGCACGGCCGTGCGACCCTGGCCGTGCGACCCTGGCCGTGTGGGAAGCCTAAGATCGAACTAATTGGAATGCAGCGTTTTGACTCGCACGGGCAACTGGGTGAGCCACACGGCCGTGTGGCCTGCCCGTGCGAGTCGGGAAATCTTGGTTTTTCAGCCAATTTCGAGCCACAAGTGGGGGAATCGGACTTTTGGGAGCAAAAACAGAGCCCTAGAGAGAGAAAGTACGAAGAACACATCCTAGAAGCTATCTTGGAGCTTGGTTTCATCGAATCGAGCTTGGAGATCGTCCTAGGAGTGGAAATCATCATCCCGGAGCAGATTTTCCTCATCCTTATGAGTATGACTACTCCGATTACTGTTTTCTTCTCTCTCTCTATGGAGTAGAACCCCTCTCTCACTTGGGGATGAAGAACCCTAGTTCTATGTGTTAGGGATTGATTGTAATGACTTGGGATGATATTACTGTTTGATTTTAATCGAATGATGCATGTTTATTGAGTCAATTGAAGTCTGATCAGCTTTTCCTGATTCCTGCTGCAATCTGAGATAGATAGAATCTGATTAGGTTGTTAGAGTCTCATCATTCGGTAGTAGGAGATTGGCTATACGAGAGTTAGCCAGTTTACTGCTTTGTACTGGAATCCAATTCCAGTAGTGGAGTTCTGTTCTTACTGCTTCAGCTTTCTATCCCGGTGAAGACTAGTCGTCTGCCGGGTAGTTAGCCTGAGAGGGCTTGGTCAGCTTAAGAGATTCCAAGCTACTGCCGGATCTTCCGCAGTCAAATCGACAGTAAATCAACCCAGGGAAATACAATTGAAACCTAACTAAGGAGCTAGGGGGACTCATTCCCGAGTGACTCTTACCTGCTTGAGAAAATCGTATCAATTCCTGCTTTCTTTCTGCTTTTGCTTTTAAAACAACAATCACTTACTTTAGTTGGCTAGATAATAGATATTCACTGAGTAAGCAGTAGATCTAGACCCCGGGTTGATAATATTACTTGTCACTTTACTGCATTCCCGGTCTGCGATTACACTTGGTCGCAGATTGGTGTTGTGTTTTAGAGCATCAAGTTTTTGGCGCCGTTGCCGGGGACTTTCTAGAGTATTAGGAAAGGCAGAAGTTTGTTACTTTAGCGTTTTTCTTTTCTTTTCTTTTCCACCCTTGCTTTTCACTTGGGTGTTTTTGTTTTTGTTGGTGCAGATCTGAATCATGGATCCTCATGGCTTCTCCAACCATTGGGGGTATCAACCACCATCCGGGTGGTATTACCCGAGACTCCCTACAGCAATCAAGGGGGGAGAAGACTATGGATTTGGGTTCCAGTACCAACCCCCTTTCTACGGGGAACAACCAGACCCCCGGGCATATCAAGAACAACCTCATTACCAAGAAGACTTTCTCCCACAACCAGAAGGGCCATCGGAGCTGGAGTTACCCATGGCGGCCTTCACGGGCCACTCTGCAGAGCCATGCTACACTTCACTGGAAGATCCGAACAAACAATTAAGGCTTCTCGTGGAGCAGTTTGCTTGAGACACTGAGAGAGCCTGCTCCAAGATGGATCTTCAAATCAAAGCCCTTGCTGCTTCAGATCCCTCATTTCTCCATGATATGGAGGAGACTGTTCAGCGCTCAGCGAAGCAAACAGAGTGGGTGGAGCAAGTTTGCTCACATCTTGCTCAAGATCACCTTTCTGCTACCACGCTAGAAGAGGTGGAGGATGACAAAGGCTATGGGGATGTTGAGGAGCATACAGAAGTTATCACAGAGAACTCCCATGATAATCATGATCAGGAAAGTCCTCTGGTTGCAGATCACACAATTCCTTATTTCTGCTCTAACATGCTGGGCCCGAGCGAGGGGATGCAAGATGATCTCATTGAAGAAATTGCTTGGCGACTTGCTCTCCAATCTGTTCTAGAAGAAGAAGAGAGAGCAAGGATGAGGAAGGAAGTTGTGGAGGATGAGGAAGAAAGAAAAGAAGAGGTGGTTCTTGATCTTTTCCCAGGGGTGATACCACATGAAGAAGAAAGGGGGGTTGAAGAAGCAATTGGCGTCCAGGCTGAGGACGGAGTTAAGGTGGAAGAGGCCTGCACCGGCCATGAGTTGCAAGTAATATCCCCACCAAACTTTGAGGAACTGCTTAGCAAGGACCCATTTGCAGTGTCTCTTTGCCAGACCAAGGCCACATCAACATCGGTCCCTCTTGGTGGACGCGATGGTGGCCAATCGATGCTGTCATATCTGGGTTGGGGCAATGAGACGAGAGAAGAGAAGAAGAGGTCTCGAGGGTGGAGACTTCATCTGCATCAAGTACACGAGCCTTCATCACCTGCCACACCACATGCTCGTGACTTGAGACTCCACCTCATCGACGAGAACCTCAACTTCAAGGAGGTTCTAGCATGGACCGAAACTTAAGAGCCATCGTCCGGCTCACGACGTGAAAGAAGCGCTTGTTGGGAGGCAACCCAACCAGTCGGTTTGCATTTCTTTCTCTATTTCTCCTCGGTTGAGTCAGTTTTGCTATTTGATTTTAGAGTCAATAACTCAACCTTTGTGAGATTTTGTGTGGTGTTTGTGTTATGATTACTCTCTCTTTCTGGAATGCACCGCCTGACCCGTTCATCATCATTCACCCTTGATCTAGTAACTTCGTTCTACCCTCCTTATCTTTCCTCCATTGAGGACAATGTCGTGCTTAAGTGTGGGGGGATGTTCGATTATGTATGCGGGTGAATGTTTGGCTGTTTGTGTGCTTGGAGCCTAGTCCACTGTCCAAATTTTTAAATTTGAGGGCTCCAAGTACGTGTTCCTTGCAATTTTCTGCTCAGTATGCTTTGAATTGACAGTCTTTATAGTAATATGCAACCTAGGGAGGTAGTGTAGCACTATGGAGGATGTTGATGCATTTAAGAAATCTCATTTCTTCTTCATATTGTGTTGGTTGATTGAGTGAATTAGTGATCTTAGGACCCTTGAATTGTGTGGTGTTGTGGACTCTCTACCTGTCATGGACTCTTGTATCATGTTTTGAAAGTAACAGGTGCTCGAAAATGTGCTTCAAAATAACGTCTCCCGTGCGAATAGGGCGAAAGTGTGTAAGGGGAGACGGGAATTCGTTCCCAATTTCCACCTACTACCTCCAGCCCCCTTACATGTCTTTCCCCCGCACGAGGCTCGAGACATCCGCTCCTAGCATGGCCGGTAAGAGCAGGTTGGGACCCTTGAAAAAAAAAGAGTAAAAAAAAAAAAATAACAGAAAACAAGCAAAACAGAAAGAAAAGGGGTTCCAACCATCTTCAAAGAAAATAGAGCACCTTGAAAAATGTGAGTCCATGATCCTTTGTTTTTGAGAATCTCTTCATCCACAATTCATTTTTCCTCTGTTCACTATTTGCCATGATGCCGACTCGATACTAGTGCTCTCGCCGAAGAAGCTATGAGATGACTTGTGTGTCGGTTGACCTCGTAAGTTGCTAAATGATCTAGGAAGTCCTCTACCTACGATCTGGGGTGTTTGTTGCTATAGAGGTCTGGAGAGTTGCATTGGTTTGAGTTAGGTTTGCTTGGGGACAAGCAAACGGTTAATTGTGGGGGAGTTTGATAGACCGTTAATTACACATGTTTTTACCCCTGTTCTTACACCGTTTGAGATATTTCATGTTAATTACACATGTTTTTACCCCTGTTCTTACACATGTTTTTACCCCTGTTCTTAGGCCGATTTCACGCTAGGTTGTGCTTGTTTGTGATATTTCAGGTCCTAGTACGTGAATGGAGGCTTGGGAGCGAGTTTGGGGTCGATTGGATGAAGATCGGGCGCGAGGAAAACCGATGAGGAAGCCACACGGGCACACATAACCATCACACGGCCGTGCAAGTGACAAACCTGGCCGTGTGGGATTATGCGAGCCTTCACACGGGCACAAGTAATTTCCACACGGCCGTGTGGAGGAGCAAAGTGGCCGTGCGAGTTTCGCCGAGAGCAAACACGGGCAGGATGGAAATCCCACACGGCCGTGCGACCCTGGCCGTGTGGGAAGCCTGAATTTCGACTTAATGATACGCCGCGTTTTGACTCGCACGGGCAACTGGGTGAGCCACACGGCCGTGCGGCCTACCCGTGTGAGTCGGGAATTGATGGTTAAAACCCGATTTTCAGCCAAAGGAAAGGGGAGAGCTGGGTTTTGGATCCCAAACACCCAAGGGACGAACCCTAGAGAGAGAGAGAGCGACTTGGGAACATTCTTGGAGCTATTTTGGAGGATTTCTTCGCCATTGGAGCTTGGGAATCAAGCTTGGAGATGGAGATTGAAGATCTAGATCAGATTTCTGCAGTCTCTCTCTTCTCTATGGAGTAACTTCCCTTCACTTAGGTTTTGAGGAACCCTAGTTCCGTGAGTTAGGATCTTTCTTGTATGAAGTTTTGGATGCTATATTGTTTGATTATAATCGAATGATGCATGTTTATTGAGTCAATTGAAGTCTGATCAACTTTTCCTGATTTCTGCTGCAACCTGAGATAGATAGAATCTGATTAGGTTGTTAGAGCCTCATCATTCGGTAGTAGGAGATTGGCTATACGAGAGTTAGCCAGTTTACTGCTTTGTACTGGAATCCAATTCCAGTAGCGGAGTTCTGTGCTTATTGCTTCAGCTTTCTATCCTGATGAAGACTAGTCGTCTGCCGGATAGTTAGATTGAGAGGGCTTGGTCAGCTTAAGAGATTCCAAGCTACTGTCGAATCTTCCGCAGTTTAATCAACATTCAACAGTAAAACAACCAAAAGGAATTACAACTTGGACCTAATTGAGGAGCTAGGGGGAATCATACCTAAGTGAGTTCCCAAACTGTAATTAGTAGGTTTACTTAGTTTAGTTAGTAGAGTAGATTAGTTAATCAATCCTTAATCTAGTTTGCTAGATAATGAACTGAAGCTGAGTAATAGTAACTCTAGAGACCCGTGGATTCGATATTTATTACTTGTGCCACTATACTGCAGTCCCTTTCATTGGTTACACTTGGCCATTGTTAGGTGTTGTGTTTTAGAGCATCAGTCATGATTGTCACATCTTGATAGAAGATATCCTTCCAGTCGTATTGCGAAGTTGTAGTCCATCTAGAGAGGTTACATATGTTGTGGTACCCCAAATTCGGTTGCATCTTTTGTTATTGAACTCATAGCTCTCGGGGACTTTTTTCCTTTGGTGCTTAACGTGTTCCTTTTCTAACTTACTAGCTTATAACCCAGCACATTGGCCGGAATGTTCATATTTGATTATTTTTATTTTTATGTTACGTTTAAGCCAATCAACCGGTTTAATTTTATTGACAATCTTTCGATCGAGATGATACATAAAGAAATAATATATAGGTCTAATATTCGGAGAAATACCATCATCATTTAAGAATATAAAATATATAATTAATTCCATTTTCATAATGATAATTAAGCCCTCGTTAAAATGCTATTGGTTAGTTGGTTGTCAAGAAAGAGGGTATAAAAGCTCAGTGAAATTCCACACGGCCCATAGATAGTTTGAAACTAAATCTTAAACCACACAATCCTACATAAGGGTTTAATGCGCTCCTTTTATGAACAATATGCCACTAATAAAAAAGAAATGAAGAGTTTTTTATTCAAGTCAACTATATACTAACAACTCAGCTAAGAGGGGACCATCAAAACTTGAGAGCAAACGGCAAAATTAGGGTTATCTCCAACATACTAATAGACTCAATCAAAGTAATAAGGCACAAAATTAGACACTCCTTGTCTAACAGTTCTAGTAGGTTGAATAAAGAATCGACATGCTTCAATAAATCAATGATTCCTCATTTTAAGATAGAAATAGGTTGTGATAGATTTAAAAATCATAAACATAAAGATCCAATAGCCACCACTCTTCGTTGTACAACCAAATTTTTATCTCAAGAGACATGTTTCAACCAAAAATTCAATTTCTAATGGACTGCCTGTTAGAACTCTTGGACTTAATTCAACAATGGACTGCCTGTTAGAACTCTTGGACTTAAACCTAGTAGCCCATACCTAGTAGCCCATACCAAATAAAGATCCAATAGCCACCACTCTTGGACTTATCTCAAGAGACCAAACCTAGTAGCTCATACAATGGACTGCCTGTTAGAACTCTTGGACTTAATTCAACAAGGCAATGCCACTCATCATTATATAGTTGGGAGGTGAGGTGTGATTTTGTTTCTCCAGCGATGTGGTAGAACAAAACAGGAGCAGAAAACAAGCAGCATTGCAACAACAACTCGGTTTGGCAGCAGAATAGAGTAGCACAGCAGCAACTCAGACATTAATTTCTTCTCCCCTTAAAGGCTTTGATGGAGTTGAGTCGGAAGGCAAACACTTGGTTCCTCGCTACCATGTCGCCATGAATTTGATTCATCTTATTTGGTTGATTTAATCCTGAACCGGTTGGTTGGTTCAATCCAAAACCGGTCCGATTCAACCAAATTTCCAACAATGAATGCATACATGAACCTGATTACTTCCACCACTAATTAGTCTACTGTCCATTTCCAACTACATCACACATGAAGGGTGCCATCTACATCACAATTAGCTCATCAAGGAAAAGGACAATTTGAGCCAGTGAGGGACATGCTCCTGACCACGTTCATGCTACTGAGAAGGCAATTTGAGCCAGCTTGAGGGAGATCATCACCTGTACTGTCTAAACAACAAAATATCACTAGTGGAGGTAGATTAACGGAACAAACTGTCAGGGAAACCGTATGGAAGAGAACGATTGAAGGCGTGATTAGATCACTCTCCTTAGAGTGTTTATTTGCCCCCACTACTTTGTTGCTGGTAGGATTTAGGCAAACCACCCCCAGGAGTCCCTCCAATCAAAGTCAGAAAGCAGCACCTTTCTTGACTTCTGTGTTTGTGTTTTTGAAGAAGGAAAAACGAGGAGAAGAAGAAGAACGTTGGAACAGAAATTCGGCTGCAGAAGACTTTTATAGTGAAAACGGCAGTTCCCTTCCGAAGGGTTGCGTCGTTTCACAAAACTCAAAATCAAATAATTATCTGGATTAATTAATTAAAATAATTCCGGTAATTAATTAGCCAAAAATTTAAATCCGAACGCGTCGTGCAAAAGTGCTAAGTGCGTAGTGCGATTTAATATGTCCAATTAAATAGCCCACACTTTTTCCAAAAGCCCACTAACCACTTTATCCAATAACTAAAGTGGAAAGCAAACTTAAAAACAACTTGCACTTTCTTTCTCCCACCAATGTGGTATTTCCTTTACTCTTTGACTACTCTAACACAAACTGCACTGCAATTTCACTGGTTTGAAGTTGTTAGAGGTTCACGAGCTCACTTGTAAGTAAACAAAGATTAAACTAAGACCACACTCTAAATGATCCCACAAGGAGCTTCTTTCCATTAGAAGTTTAAAAAGTCAGCTCCCCTCTCATCCATTCCTCAACCCGAATTTATTATTCAAAGTGGTAACAACATATACTAATTTAATTATGGCTTGAGGGTTCAATATCAAAAGTTTAGGCTATAGGGTTAGGGTTTATGGTTTAGGGTATAAGTTAATGATTAGTGTCACGATTCAAGTCCCAAAGAACATATACCAACTTAATTATGGGTTTAGGGTTCAATATTCATGGTTTATGATATAGGGCTAGGGTTCCTGGTTTATGGTTTAGGGTATAGTTTAATACTTTAATACAAGAATAATGAGGTAGCACTACAAGAAAACTATTTTTCTAGTCACAAGATCTTATGCACATGAATTTTTCCCGTATTAAAAAGTACACAAAAATTTACGGGACAATTTCCATAACTAATTGTATCATTTCGTTTGAGTTAATTTATATTGCTGCAAAAAAATGTTGAGATAAGAAAAAGTGTTTTTCTTCTTTGTTTTTTAGAGTGGTGTTTTGTTTTTTAGAATGTATAATTTCTTATAGGGTCTATTGGTTGAAAATGTTGATATCACCACAACTATTAGCTAGTTACTTTACTAATTACGATTAATTGCATGACAAGTTTCCAAGTCGTACAAATTGATTCAAAATTTTGGAAAGTTTTTTTTATAACTTTTTAGGTAAATATACAAGGTAGAAAGAAATGGCTGAAAATTGTGGAAACTGTTTTAAATCAGTTTTATAAAATGTGTAAGTTATAGTAACGACAACGAGTAAAAAGTAAGTAACTCGATGCGCTGACACGAACAACACGCAACTCGATCCGCCCACAACCCACCCGACCCACAACCGATTGAATCGCAACCCGATTGAACCCGAACCCGATTGAACCCGAACCCAATTGAACCCGAACCCGATGAACCCGACTAACCCGATGAACCCGCAACCCGACTAACCCGAACCCGATGGACCCACAACCCAATGAACCCGCAACCCGATTGAACCCAGCCCGAACCTGCCCGATTGACACCTATAGTTGAGATATTACGTTCTACTTTACAACGTGCTTCATTCCATTTCATACATCGTTGTATACTAAAAGATTATCATTACAGATGTAGGAAGAAATAAAAAAAAGTTATGAAAACATAACTTCTTAATTTTATTTTCAGTATTTTAATGCATTTTGAACACGATTCAAATTGAAAGTGAAAATACAAAAACTATCACAATTTTGCATACACCAGCCACTTAAAGATAGTGATGCATAGACTCTCCCCAGTAAAAGTGCTAAAACTCACATTTTCTTGTGAATTAAGGAATCAACAAACTCATTAATATTCCTATCGGAACTCCCACCTTCACTCGCAGCTTCCTTCATCACTCTCTTCCATTGTCCTGCATTCCTCTTCATCTCTTCTCCTTTCTTCCCTTCCATCACTTCCTTCAAACACTTCTCCAGTACTTCCCTCTTCACAATCCCATCTTTGTCTGCCTCGGCCCTCAATCCCATCTTCCAAACATCCTCTATGCACTTAGCATTCGTCCCTTGGTCTGTCCACTGAGGCATTGCCACCATAGGCACCCCCAAACTCAGCGCCTCCAGTGTCGAGTTCCACCCGCAGTGTGTTACGAAGCAGCCCACAGCATCGTGATCTAGCACCTCGAGTTGCGGGCACCAAGACACGACCAGACCCTTCTCGGACGGGTCAAAATTCACAGGGAGTTTGGACTCCTCAGATGCCCTAACGACCCACAAAAAGTAGTGATTGTTGTTCTTCAATGCATTGAAAAGTTCTTCCATTTGCTTAAGGCCTAGACTTGCCATGCTACCAAATGAGACGTAAATAACCGAACCCGTGGGCTTGTTTTCAAGCCAATCCATGCATTGTTTGCTGTCGGGCTTGAAGATGCTGAACCCATAGTCTTTGTCCTCTGGCAATTGCTGGTCCAAGTACATGGATGGGATTGTTGGGCCAATTGTTTTCATGGACCAAAGTTTTGACAACCAATCTGCTGCCTGTGTGGAGAAAATATAAATTTGAACCTCAACAAATGATCAATTCAAAGTATATATACGGGTCGTTTGCTTCATGGATTTGAAAAATGAGGGTTTTGGTAAAACCTGGGTTTTGGAAAACCATGGATATATGATGGATTTGGTGGCATTATGGATTTGAACAAGTCTATTGTTTGCTTGATGGATTTGATTATGGACTTTGTTTGATTAGATTTGTGGATATTAAATACAAATTACCTAGTTACCCTTATTTAATTATATTTTTATATTATAATCCAAATCTTTCATTTAAAACTAATCCAAAACATAGAAAGAAATTTTAAACTCTTTACCACTATGTGGATTAATAATTCAACTACAAATATAGAAATGTATTACAATTTGGCACTAATTAACAATTCATCTTGGCACTAATTAAAAATTCATCTAATAATCCTTCATAAAAAAATAATTCATCTAATAATGTACGCAATATTATGTATCAATTGCAGTCAATTGCTCGCTTTATTGCTACAACTCATCATCTTCTTGCTAACTCACCGATTTGGAATCTGACAATCAATCAAATAATAATGTACAAGATGAGCATAAAGTGTTTCTAGGTGAATCTAACAAATCACATATACATTCATATTTAAATAAAATACGATATAACAAAATGAAATGATAACTTCTCATATTTATAAAATACGAAATTATAAAAGTTTACAGTTGCATGACCATTGAATTAAAGTAGGACAAATTTGTAATTAAAGAAATAATTAAGGGTAGAAAGATAATTTACCATCATGGATTGTAATCCATCACCCAAATCCCACCTCAAGAGGTGGAACTTCCAAGTCCGTGGGGTCCACGGATTTGGAACCCCAAAAGTGGTGGGCCCCACAAATTCCATCTCCCTAATTCCCTAAGGCAAACTATGGATTTCGGTTCAAGTCCATGATGGATATATTTCCATGATCAAATCCATGACCAAAACCCTCAAGCAAACGAACCCTAAATAATATAGTTTGGAGAAGAGAAGTTATCAGCCTAGGTAGCTGCATAGTTATACAAGTGAATATAATTTCAGTTATTTATATTATTATTAGACATAATTAGTAGCTCGGAATAGAAGAATGGTCATGTCATTCAGCTAATGATAACGAAAATCTACATTCAATCAATTTTGCTTAAAAAATAATTTCAAAGGTCCAAAATCTTTAAATTGTTCTTTCTTAAAGAGTGAAATATGAATTATTAGCCCATTGAAACTTCGGATAGGGGATTTCCATATAAAAGTCTAGTTTGTTGCTTGACAAAGAGGAACTCCTATCGAGAGAATCAAGCAAATCAAACAACCGAAAACGATTCTCACCTCTTGCTCCAGCTCATAGATCGTGTTGCAGAGCACCCAATCGGCCTTATCAATGTTGTCGAACTGCGCCAAGAGCATGTCGAAAGCCGCCGGGTAAGATCCATATTCGTATATGAATGAAGGCATGTCTTTAGGCGCCAGGGGAGGCAGCCCAGGAATCATCGTTTGCGCCTCCAGAATCGGCGGCTTCAGCCAACCCTTGTAGCAATGGTAGTAAATGCTGCCGACGGCGCAAGACTGAGTGAAGAACGCCGCCGCCGTCAGCCCGAACCGTTTCGCGACGTCGAGGCACCACGGAATGAAAGAATCGTAAATTATGCAGGTGGCAGGGCACTCTGTTTTGCTGAGGTCGGTGATGAGCTGGGTGAGAGTTTGGGAGCCGGCCCTCTGGAAGCTGGAGAGGTAGGCGTCGCTGGACTCTGCGGCAGCGCGTCCGCCTTCGTCGAAGCCGTCGGAGATGGTGGCGAGGTGGATGGTGGTGGAGCAGGAGGCGGCGGCGGAGGAGGAGTTGGCGACGGTTTTGGAGATGAAGCGGGTGTTGACGAGGGTGACTCGGACGCCACGTGGGATGAGGCGTTTGGAGAATTGGAGCATCGGGTTGATGTGGCCTTGTGCTGGAAAAGGTATGACGAGGCAGTGAGGCTGGGAGGAACAAGGTGTTGATGCTTGTTCGTTGTTGGCCGCCATTGATGCTTTTGCTGTGGTTTGGTTTTGTTTGGAGGAAAGGGAGCTTCCAACTTTATAGTGTGTGAATGGCTGTTGTGCCGTATGGAATGACCTCATTCGATCACATGACAGCAACTGCAGTGACATATATAGTGGGATGAGATGCGATCATGCGATGGCGGGCTCTGTCTGGTTTTGTCGGATTTCCCTTGGCCGGGCTTCCAAGGCGAATTTGGAGTGAGCTATCACACCACAATTTGTGCACGACAACTTTGGGACCAAGCAAGCAAGTAGCCGTTGTCTGTTAGCAGCAGGACACTGATGTAACTAGGATTGGCAACAAAACTCGAACTCACGAGTACCCACTCGACCTAATCCGGTCAATGCGAGTAAAACCCATGTTGACGGGTTTTGGGTCGGGTTTGGGTTTAAACCCGCTACACTATTTACCAGGTCGGGTTGGGTTTGGGTTTAGGTAAACCCGCCCTATGGGTACCCGCACACACACATATAATTACTTTCCCGGTATATTTAATATTCTAAATAATATATCTTCCTTAAACAACTAATATTGTTATGTTTGTGGAGACATGTATAATTTGTTCTTTCTAATTGTTTAGAATGAAGTTGATATTATGAAGTGGAGAGTGAAGAAACTTAGTTGACGAGGAAGAAGCTTTCAATTAATCTTATTGTTTATAGATGTTTATCTTTAATTTTGAACAATTTGCATTTGATCATTTGCGGTTTGCTCGTATGCTCTAGATTGCTGTTTTTTGTATGAATAATTTGTATGAGAAAGAAAATTGATGTTAAACTTTTATTTTGAAGGAAACTTGTTATTGTAAATTTTTTACCACAAAAACCCACGGGTACCTATGAACCCGCGTTGTTGGGTTGGGTTTGAGTTTTTCAAACCCAACGAGTTTTACCCCGAATTTTTTTGGCGGATAAACCCATAGGTTTGGGTTTGACAAAACCCACCCCAATCCGACCCATTGCCATCCCTAGATGTATGATATTGATGACTCTCCCTTTGGCGGCTCATAGTCAAGGGCGAATACATCTCCCAACTCCCATGCGATGGCATTATGGCAAGAATATTGGGTTCAGTGTTCATGACGCTCGTCATACGGTAGTTCCTAATTAATCAAGGCATGGCCGAACCACTCCATGTGGACCAAACAGGTTCCCTAACAAAACCTGAAGTACCATAATTGATTACATGTATTTTTTTCTTTCTTTCAATTTTTAAAACTAAGCAGAAATAGTACCGAATTATGTTCCTTCAACAGTGATATCAGAGCCATCTTGAGTTTTCAACAACTCATAGTCAAAGGAAACGCTCTCGAGGAAATGACTTCATGGATGGGAGGGAGAGCGTGCTAGAAGCCGAACAAGAAAATGAGTTTACCGATCTGGCCGAGTCGCAGACTAGTGGCAGAGTAGTCACTCTCTTTAAGACGATCGCGACACTGCCTCGTATTGGACATACCAGAATATCAACAGGTCACCTCCAGGATAAGCCACTATTTATCTCTCTGTTTGTGCGCAATCAGAGTTCTCTAAAGAATACTCTCTCATGTTTCTACTCTTTGGATTGTATATATAGAGAGTCCGGTGAGTCCACATTTGAAAGGAGCAGAAAATAAAAAATGTTATTTCTTTCTTCGGGAATAAAGTACGTATGTTAAGGAAGATAATTATCTCCCTAATTAAAAATGTGTCTTTTATTTGGGGTAATTAATCCAACGTAATTATCCTTGCTTTTATTTCAGAAAAAAAATGTTCCATAATAAATTCGTATTATCCTTCCTTTACTTTTATAGCTTTCAAAGTTATTCATCCCAACAAACTCCACTTAGTGATGACAACAAAACCCGAACCTGCGGCCTGCAGGTACCATATCCGACCCAACCCGGTCAACGCGGATAAAACTCGTTCACTATTCACCGGGTGGGGTTTGGGTATACCCGTCCCATGGATACCCAACCACATCCATATAATTAATTTTCCTAGTATATTTAACATTTCAAGCAACTAATCTTCTTTATATTTGTGGAGACATGTCTAATTTTTTCTTTCTAACTGTGTCGAATGAAGTTGATATTATCGAGTGGAGAGTGAAGAAGCTTAAATGACAAGGAGGAAGAAGCTTTCGATTAATCATTTTGTTCATGAATAATTTGTGATTTGCTTCAATTTTCTTGAGTTTTCTAGATTGTGTTGAACAATTTGTATGGTTAATTTGTGATTTGCTTGACTTTTCTAGAATGGTGTTTTATATATGGATAATTTGTATTGAGAGATTGATATTTGATTTTTATTTTGATAGGACTTGTTATTGTAAATTTTTTACAACAGAAACCCATAGGTACCCATGAATGTGCGGATACCCAGCGGGTTGGGTTGGGTTCGAGTTTTCCAAACCCAGTGGGTTTTACCCCATATTTTTTTAATGATAAACCCATGGGTTTGGATTTGGCAAAGCCCCGACCCATTGCCATCCCTACCACCACTTGAATAGTTTTGTAAATTTCTTTGAGCATCAACAATCATATGATTGGACATAAACGATTTCGATTTGAACCTTAGTGTAGTGGTTACACTTCAGATTCAACAAGAGTGACTCGTAGTGTTGAACTCTATCTCTAACAATGAAGCACACTAGATCTTTCGAGTGTCATTCTCTAACAACCTTGGCGATTATGCCCTTGGCCAACAGTGACATATTGAGTCATCTGTCGAAAGTCGCGACTTTTTCAGTAAATGTTAGGCCTAGAACAGTGGCTTCTGCAACACTCGCGACTTCCATAAGGAGATCTTGGAAATTTTTGACATCTCAAGGCTTCTTCAATAAATGTCATAGCTTGGGTCGTGACATTCGTGCTCTAAACCGTGACATTTACAACCTCGTTGTCTTGTAACTATCATATTTATATTCTCGTATCTGATTGTTCCTTCTTTTGGGATATCTAAAAAAAGAAGCAAGACCCTATAATTTCAAGGAGGAGAGAGAGGAAAATTTGATGTTTCACGAGAGAAAAGGAAATTCAATGAGGTGAAACTTAAGAGTATAACTTTAATGATGCCTTGGATAGAATTAGATTTCAATTCCATATTTCTCGAGGAAATTTTTTACTACAAAGAAATTCAACATAAAAAGTTATAGTTCAGCAGTGTGTTAGGTGTGAAATGCTTTTTTTTTTACTTAGATAGATCGCTAGTAGATAGAGAATTACAAAGAGTTGAAAAGTAAATAGTGGTAATCAACCAAGTGCTGATCGACCGATGCAAGAGCCGTTTTTGACATGCATTGAGCAGCCCTGTTAATTCTACAAAGAGAAAGAATGCTTCTTTTTATTGGTTGCATACTAAAATATCATCATAACAAGATTAATGAAGAAATAAAAAAGTTAAGAAAACTAGCTTCTTAATGTTATTTTGATATTTTAATGCATTTCGAACATAATTCAAAATTGAAAATAAAAATACATAAATTATGACCATTTTGCACACACAAGCCACTTAAACCTAGTGACGCATATACTTTCCAAAATTTTTTTTGCCCAAACTCACAATTTCTTGTGAATTAATGAATCAACAAACTCATTAATGTTCCTATCAGAACTCCCACCTTCACTCGCAGCTTCCTTCATCACTCTCTTCCATTGCTCTGCATTCCTCTTCATCTCTTGACCTTTCTTCCCTGCCATCACTTCCTTCAAACACTTCTCTACAACTTCCCTCTTCACAATTCCATCTTGGTCAGCCTCTGCCCTCAATCCCATCTTCCAAACATCCTCTATGTACTTAGCATTCGTCCCTTGGTCCGTCCACTGAGGCATTGCCACCATGGGCACTCCTAAACTCAGTGCCTCCAGTGTCGAGTTCCACCCGCAATGTGTCACGAAGCATCCCACAGCACCGTGATTTAGCACCTCGAGTTGCGGGCACCAAGACACGATCAGACCCTTTTCGGATGGGTCAAAATTTAGAGGAAGCTTGGCCTCCTCAGAAGCCCTGACAACCCATAAGAAATAGTGATTGCTATTCTTCAGTCCATGAGAAAGTTCTTCCATCTGTTCAAGGCCCAGACTTGCCATGCTGCCAAATGAGACGTAAATGACCGAGCCCGTGGGCTTGTTATCAAGCCAATCCATGCATTGTTTGCTATCGGGCTTGAAGATGCTGAACCCATAGTCTTTGTCGTCCTGCAATTGCTGGTCCAAGTACATGGATGGAATTGTTGGGCCAATGGTTTTCATGGGCCATAGCTTTGACAACCAATCCGCTGTCTGTATGGAGAAATGAGAAGTAATTAGCGTAGGTAGCTGCATAATTGCACCAATTCTTAGCTCCATTCTTGGTTGAACGCTGAAGCTCCAACCATTCAAGGTGTCAGTTTGTTATTGGTGGATTCCCCTTCCTTTTTTTAATATTTAATTATGCTAAGTAAATCAGTAATTAAAATATTAAAAAATGATGAAATTACCAATAGAAAATTGACACGTGGCTGGTTGGAGCTTCTGTGTCCGACCAAGGTTTGAGCTAAGAATTTTTCGCATAATTGTACAAAGGAACACAATTTCGATTATTTAAAAGGTTAAATACACTTGTATATCCAAAACTTTCACGGTTGTACCAATAATATCCAAATTTCCTGAAATACCACTTATATCCAATTCCTTCACATTCCGTAACGGTGTTTTTGGATATACAAGTGAATTTAACCAAAAATATATTGGGAAATGGATAGATTTGACAAAGAACAACTTTAACACATGGATATAAGTGGTATTTCGAGAAATTTGGATATTATTGGCACAATCGTGAAAGTTTTGGATATACTAGTGTATTAAACCTATCTAAAATGAGACTTCGGATTGGAGATTTCCGCATAAAAGTGTAGCTACTTTGTTGTTTGACCACTCTCCTCTTTGTCTGAGATCCCTATTGAGTATCAGGCAAATCAAACAACCGAAAACGATTCTCACCTCTTGCTCAAGTTCATAGATCGCGTTGCAGAGCACCCAATCGGCCTTATCAATGTTGTCGAACTGCGCCAAGAGCATGTCGAAAGCCGCCGGGTAAGATCCATATACATAGATGAAAGAAGGCATGTCCTTAGGCTCCAGGGGAGGCAGCCCCGGAATCAGCGTTTGCGCCTCCAAAACCGGCGGCTTCAGCCAACCTTTGTGACAGTGGTAGTAAATGCTTCCCACGGCGCAAGACTGAGTGAAGAACGCCGCCCCTGTGAGCCCAAACCGTTTCGCGACGTCGAGGCACCACGGAATGAAAGGGTCGTAAATTACGCAGGTGGCAGGGTACTCTGTTTCGCTGAGGTTGGTGATGAGTTGGGAGAGAGTTTGGGACCCGATTCGCTCGAAGGTGGAGATGTAGGCGTCGGTGGATCCGGCGGCGGCGAATCCGCCTTCGTCGAAGCCGTCGGAGATGGTGGCGAGGTGGATGGTGGTGGAGGAGGCGGCGGCGGAGGAGGAGGAGTTTGCGACGGTTTTGGCGATGAAGCGGGTGTTGACGAGGGTGACTCGGACGCCACGTGGGATGAGGCGTTTGGAGAATTGGAGCATGGGGTTGATGTGGCCTTGTGCTGGATAAGGTATGATGAGGCAGTGAGGTTTGGGAGGAGAACAAGGTGTTGGTGGTGCTTGGTCGTTGTTGGCCGCCATTGTTGTGTTTGTTTTGGTTCTTTTTGAGGTGGGTTTGGTTTTGTTTGGAAGAAAGCTTCCAACTTTATAGTGTGTGAATGGTTGTTGTTGTGCCGTATGGAATGACCTCATTCAATCATACGACAGCAACTGCAGTACTGACATGGTGCGATGAGATGCGACGGCGAGAGTTGTCTGCAGGTTTTGTCGGATTTCCCTTGGCCGGGCTTCGAAGGCGAATTTGGAGTAGTGGTTTTACGAGTTAAGTTATCAAACCACAATTTGTGCACGACAACTTTGGGGCCAAGTAGCCTTTGTCTGTTAGCAGCACAGTGATGTAAGCAATGATGAGGAGTCCCCTTTGACGGCTCATAGTAAGGTTGAGATCAAACCCTACTACATATATGTGCATTTTCTGCAGTTTGAGATAGAGAGGCTTAGCTCATCGCGAAAGCATGAACCAATTAGCTAGTCATATTGTGGATGTGGAGTATATCAAAAGGCTACTAATCTTTGAGTCACTAACAACTAGGGATGGAAATTTACCCACCCATGGGTATTTTTGCCCAAACCCAATTATACCCATTTATATGGGTATGGGTATGGATTTATTCTATATGGATTTGGATAATGTTTGGGTAGGTGGAGTTAGGTTTGGATTTTATTTTTGGGTATGGATTGGGCTTGGGTATCCATCTCCTTGGACCCACCTGTATATTTTTTTTTATTAGGTGTTAAAATGTAAAGCAAAATTTCTAATGTACTAAAATATAATTTTTCACATATGATGTTGAACCTATTTGTATCTTCTTAAAAACTTCAGGTACTAAAATGTAATTTTGGCTGTCAACAACCATCGTGTTCCAGCTGCTTCGTCGGCGGCGGTTTCACGACGGGGAGGATGACGAATCGGACTTGAGAGTCGGCGGCGCCGGCGGCGGTGAGATTGGTGTTGTTGCCGGATGGCAGGGGGATGAGGCAGATTGTAGCTGTCGAGGAGGGCGAATTGGCCTGCGACGACGGAGAAGGAGGCGGCGGATTTGTTGAAATCAGGGGAGTATGTCGTCGGGAAGAAGTAGAGGCGGATGAATTTCTGGCCCGGGTTGACTGGGAAGGAGTAGGTGAAGTTGGAGCGAGACCATCGGGCGGACCTGCTGGAACGGGGAGATTGGAGCGCGATATTGGAACTGAAGCTAATTTGGCCGGAATTGCGAGTAGGGTGGCTCAAGGAGGGTGGTACCGCCGAGCGGAAGCGGCCGGCACCGAACAGGGGTCCGGCGGAGACGTCGATTGCGTGGCTCATTTTGATATTCTTCTTATTGAACTGCTGATTTGGTTTTTGGACCTATGATTGTTGTGAGTGTTTGCGTGTTGGTTGACGAGGATGAAAGAGGCGAAGAAGGTGATCCATTTATAGATAGATAGATAGGAAAACAGAGCAAATGCCCTGTTTCTTCATCGTTTCCTGGCAGTTAGAGAATCAAGGCAAGGAGATCGTATTACTTTTGTTCTTAGTGTTGATTGAAGCTTGCTTCATCAGGATTGGAGTGAAATGGGTGGTGGTGAATTGCAGGGGAGGTTAAGGGACCGGAAAACAGGGGAAGAGCAGAGGACCTGGTTTTTTGTTCTTTGCTTTCATGGGTGATTAAGCAGGGGAGGTTTAAGGGAGTAGGGGTTGATAGTAGGGCTTCTTTCCTTTCTCCAGAACACAGACAAGGAGCAAGGAAGAAAGAAGAGGGTTCTGCTTTGGAGGGTGAAAAGTGGGGGAAGAAAACAACAACAACAACAGGGAAAGTAGAGATGATGGGAATTGATCATACAATGATATTCAACAACAGGGACCGCATAAATTGATCATAAATTGATCATACAAGCTTCATAATAATTCCTCTGTCCTGATCCCTACCCTTCCAACAACAACAACAACAACAACAATAACAACAACAACAACTACTACAACAAGTAAACCACAAGTAAACCACAATAGAAAGCTTCATAATAATTCCACCATGATCATCAGTACATGTTCACCAACAGCAACACCACTAGAAAGCTTCCTCTGTCCTGATCCCTACCCTTCCAACAACAACAACAACAATAATAACAACAACAACTACTACAACAAGTAAACCACAATATCCATCCATGCCACTCACGTCACTGACAACCAACAACATACAAACTCCCAGATTCTTTCTCAGTCCTCATATTCCATAACTTGTTCATCATCACCGCCATCATTCTCACAGAATATGGTTTGAGTCGAACCATCAACGTCTGAAGAGAAGATGGCCACACCTGCAAAAAGGGAAACCAAGAAGGTATGCACTCAACCACAACATACACAGAAGGTAAATAATGAATAACTGCAACAACACGTTGTTTCTTACCATGAAGTTCATTCCTAAGCCAGTTCTGGGTGCATATAAGAGCCTCCACAGTCGTGTCATCAAGGCGGCTACGATGAGGGTTCAATAATCTCCCACTTGTGCTAAATGCAGATTCCGAGACAACTGTTGACACTGGAATGGCCAGAATGTCCTTAGCAATCAACCTTAAGGTTGGATATTGTAGGCCATTGTTCTTCCACCAAGATAAAATGCCGAACTCTTCGCTTCTTGGGATCAAACCATCTCGCAAGTATTTGTCAAACTCTTCTTTAACATTCCAATTAGATCCAGTACTACCAACATAAGAATCAAAGCTGGCAAGAAACCCAGAACTTGCATGTTGATGTGGCGATGAAGAAGAAGAAGAATCCATGCTAGGTTCTGTAGTCTTGTACTCACTCATAAGATCATAACAGAAGTCTCGAATCCTATTAAAATGAAATGTAGATGTGCCAACATAAATCTTGGGAAAGGCCCACTCTAATAGCTTCATCTTGAACCTTGGATCCAATATAGCTGCAATAGCCAACGTTCCATGGATAACCTCCCAATACCTATTGAATTTATCCAACATCTCTTCAGCCATGGTTGCAATAGTTACATTTGGACTCAACTGCCACTCGTTTAGAGCTATTTTAATCTCACGGACCTTAGGGAAAAATGTATTAGCCGTGGGGTAAGTTGTTCCTGAAAATGTCTTTGTAGCTTCATGAAACAACTCTAGTTTCACACATAATTCAGATGCCATATCCCATTCCTCTTCACTTGGAAAACATACATAATCTGAATCTCTAAAAATCAAACGATCAAAGACATCCTTATATATCAAAGCAGTGGATAGCATAAGATACGTAGAGTTCCAACGAGTCTTACAATCAAGCACCAACTCTCTCGAACAATCAATATTTGTAAGCCTGTCTAACACATCATTGAACTTTTGTCTTCTCTTAACAGATGAAGTCCAATACACAACACTATCACGAATTCTCCCAATGCATTCCTCAATGACAGACAACCCATCTTGCACGATTAGGTTGAGAATGTGAGCAGCACATCGCATATGAAATATAGAACCATTTAGCAACAACGTATCTTCTTGCAATTTTCCTAAAAGAGCTCTAATCATAGCTCATTAGTACTGCAATTATCCACGGTCACTGTTGAAATTTTTCTCTCAATGTTCCATTCCGTCATAGAACTCAATAATACAGCACATAGAACATCCTTGGTATGTGGAGAAGGAACGTGGATAAAGCTCAAAATCTTACTATGAAGGACCCAAGCATCATCAATAAAGTGACCAGTTACTACAATGAATCCTCTTTTCCTGTTATTTGAAGTCCACATATCAGTGGTAATCGCCACCCTACTGCTGACTTTTTCTAACTCATGCATTACATTCATCTTTGCCTTTTTGAATATCTTTAAAATATCACTCTTGATTGTATTTCTACAAACCATTTGAAACAACGGTTGAAGAGAATACACAAACCTCCTAAGCCCAACATAATCGACAACCGATAGAGGAAATTCATGAAGAACAATCATATAAGCAAGCTCCCTTCTACTAGTTTCTTGGTAAAAAACAACCGGACTCGAACTTCCAGTACCAATTTTCCTTTTCTTACTACCCAAAAGTCCACCCACCATGACTGGATAAGCATTTTTTACTGGACATTTAACCAAATGATTGCGCAAATGAGAAGTTCCAGAGTTGGATTCAGCAGCAAGCTTTCTATGGCAGTATTTGCATTCAGCTTTTCTCAACCCACTAATTACAACTCGATCATAATCCTTCCACACATCAGACCACTGCTTCTCAGAAGACCATACCATACGACTAGAAGACACACTAGGCTGTCCATGATTACTACTCTCATGATTCATAGATAGACTATCATCATTAACTTCTGAAGCCATGTTTCCCTAGAAAATCAAGCAAGCAACAAACAATCATTCAAACTAGCTGCAACAACACAATTATTCAACCAAATAAGAATTAAACTAAGTTCACAAGCAGCAAACTGTCAAAGCAGTAGTCAAATTGAATAAACTAAGTTCGTTAATTAACCACCCGACCAGAAGTTTAGATATGGCACTGACCTTGAAACTATCTGCTCCAATTCTCTCAATTTTGAGATGATTTTGCTGTAAGAAGATGCTGGAGTTTGCTTGAAATAGAAGAACTCCTCTTCATGTGGGATTCAAACCATTTAGATATGGCATCAGATGGCAAGCTCGTTTTTTCATGAAATGCAAAAGCAAGGTTTAGTTCCTCCTGCACTTGCTGGAACAAAATCTTCTCCAGCTTGATTGTACTTCCTCAGCTAGCTTCTTTCCAGCATGTAGCACACTCTTCTTTTTTACATGTAACCTTGCTCATAAACAAAACATTTGTCCTTCAATAGATGAAACAACTTGGCTGAGGAATTTGGATCAAGTCCTCGACCTCTGTCAGCTAAGAAACTCTTTGACAAGGGAATGTCAAAGCATTCAACCTATGCAACATTGATACATTTACACTTCAGCATCTCCAAATATACACTTATCTGTTGCTTTATGTGTACATCTTTCGGCATGTGAATAAACAGAGTAGGTAGTTAATTGAATAAACTAAGTTCGTTAATTCAACCAAGTTCGTTAATTCAACCAAAAAAGATCCATCCAGTAAAGGAATTGGTGCAACCGATCCAGTTGGCAGAGAGAGACCATTTACAAGAAAAAAACACACTCACACAAACATTAGCCCACGCCATTCTCAAAGACAAGCTTGAAACCCACAAACCCACAGTTCATACCCAATTCACAACTAAGACCCATTCAGAAACCCTATCCCTTGAATAAATCCTCTGAACAAAGTTCATAAGACCCAGTTCAAAAACATAGGGTAAGAATTGTAAGATGAACAATACCTGGAGCCTGGCGGAGTGGGCTTCTCGTGGTCTCGAGATTGAAAGGGAGAGAAGAGCAGGTGATTCGCGAAGCTGTTGGCGATCTTGTGAGGGTAGGCGACCCGACCCTCTTGTTCTCTGGAATCCCACCGATTGACAAAAGAGAAAACGGGTGCTTCGAGATCGGGAGGGAGAGGTAGAACTGGCGAATCGCGAAACCGCCGGCGGTGTTGAGGGGGTGGGCGACGAGGCAAAGCGACCAGATGCCCAGACCCTCTTGTTCTTCGGAATCCGAGCGATCGAGAGGGATAGGAGGAGCTGGCGTCTGGCGAGTCGCGAAGCCGTCGGCGGTATTGAGGAAGCCGACGATGGTTGCTCCTAGAAGCCGTCGGCGGTATTGAGGAAGATCGACGTCGGTGGGTCGATCTGAGAAGTGAGAAGGGTCGAAGGGGAAACTGGCGGTCTGAATCGAGAGTGATAGGATAGGAAGAGCCGAAGAGCTGATCGAGTGACCGTGATATTTTTTTTCTCTTTTCGTTTAATTACTTAGGTTTGGGTTTTTTAACCCAAATCCATGGGTAAAACCCAACTGGATCCAACATTATGGGTATGGGTGTTGACCCATTAGACTTTACCCATTTAAAGTTGACTTGGATTTCAGACCTGACCCACCTGGGTTGGATACTTAAAACCCAATGGGCATGGGTAATTCTGCCATCCCTACTAACAACCTAGCTAGTCATCGAACTTCAAATTTTGATATAATTTTAGTGAAATATAGAATAACTAGTTGATAGACTTATCATTTCATCAATGTTCATCCATTTTTTTCAAGACAGTTCTTACTCGTCCAAATTGATATTCAAGAAAGGCTAACTTATATGCACAATTTATTTTAAACCAAATGCTAACCAAGTAGTTGGTCCCACCGACCCATGAATTGTAAGGAGTGGATTAAATGATTTGGTTTGGGTTGAGCTTCCTTTAGACTAGGTAATCTTCAAAACCAAAATTTTAAGTATGAATCTGACACATTGCTAATTTTGATAATCTGGATTAGAATTTTGAGTAGAGTTGGATGAATTCACATGTATGTGGGGGGGGGG